GTCTGGAATCCTTTGGGCTTGTTGTGAGGAGAGGCTATTCCTTGCAGAGGGTGAAAGGTGGAGGGTCATTGAAAGAGAGGAAGACCCTTAATGAGATGGATCGACACAGTACCTGCAGTAATGGTTCAGGTGTGTCAGCGATGACAAGGAAGGCACAGGATAGGGCAGGTTCAGATCTGTTGACCACAGCAAGTCTATGAGTGATACTCCGATTGAAGGCACCTGACCACTGCAATAACAACAACAGGTGGGACCCAGGTTAGGGACTCTCATGTTGCCACCCTATTCTAAAGGTCTAGACCAGGGTAGTATCCCCGCTGTATAACCTCAGTATTGGAAACGATTTGATACTCGCATTCAAAAGATACTTTATCCATGCAGCAAACATTTGTGTGCAAAGCACTGTGTGCTGAGAACTGGGCTGGAAGCGGACAGAGTAGCCGAATAAGATCGGAGTTCCTGCCTTCAGCGGGTTTGCCCTTTAGCGCCTGTTAGTATCTTCCTGCTAAACTGAGTGCGGCCTCAGAACACACAAGCCTCCTCCTCGGCAGTTCAAATTCACCAGCGGCTTCTTCTCAAGGGAAAGATGGGCTGTCTCCTTCCAGGAGATGTGCAGCCTCAGAAAACCAGTGGAGGGTCAACTATGAGCCAGGCCCAACTGACCACAACAAATGTATGCCGCCAGCTGACTGTATGAGGCCCGCTGGTGAAATTGAACGTCACACATTGACATGGAGCGTAGGAACTGACACTGAACCAGTGCTGCACCCAGCACCGTCTGTCTAGGTTCAGGTTCTCAAACTCCAGACCCAGAAGGCATGGCAGTGTCATGTGGACATCAGGGGCATGTGTCCCACCACCAGGGGGGCAGCCTGTACTGCCCTCCCACCATGGCCAGTCAGGCATCTGAGGCCAGCCAAGTGTCAGAGAGAAATCAGAGGTCTGAAATGAATGTGAAATACTTTATTAAATGTCAGCAACTAATGATTCCCCCTCACCCCTCCACACTATTGCCTGAAGCACACCTAGACAGCCTGTGGCTGATTCAGCCCGGAAGGGTTTTCCAGGTGTCGATTTCTGGGGTGTCAAAACCAGTTGATTGAATGCCTAACAGACTGGATGTGTCCTGATCACACCTGTTTTCCTTCCATTTGGAAAGAAAGACCACCAGGGTCAGAAACAACATCCACTTTAACAGCAACTTCCCTATACCCAGCCCCTGAACCCGAGCCTCCCACACAGAGCAAGCATGAGGATTCAGTGCTGCCCCCACTGCAGACTCCATGCCTTGAAACATTCCATCTGCCAAAAGGGAACGTGTTGTCATTATTAGGCGCCTTGGAATCAAGTATGACTCAAAGCGACCCAAGCAACAAGAGTTCTAATCTTTGTCCTATCCTGTCCCATCCTCATCCTCTCGGACCACTTGAGCCCATTGCTGCGGTCACTGTGTCTATCCATCTCATTGAGGGTCTTCCTCTCTTTTGTGAACCACCTTTCCAAGCATGATGACCTTTCTCAAGGAATAACCTCCCCTAGCAACATGCCTGACGAGCTCTGGTGGCTTAGTAGTAAGGAATTGTGCCGTCAACACAAAGGCACGCGGCGCGAACCCACCTGTGTGATTTACGGCATCTGAGAACCTGCTGGAGTCGGCTGTGAGTCGTTTTCGACTTGATGGTTATCAACAACTACAGCTACTCTTCCAAAGCACGTGACGACTCCTAGGAACACTCGGCTACACTTTGCCCAAAATCTATCTTGGAACATAAAAAAGGAACATTTGAGTACCTTATTAAAAACAGAAGAGGGGGAAAAACCCCAGAAAAAATAAAAAACCCCTAAAATGTGACTTCCTAGAGTGTCTATCTGAGGAGAACAGTGCTGCCTCATTAAGAGTTTATTATCCTGCCACCAGGCAGATACACGCACACCCATGTTTATCGTGGCTTTGTTCACAATAGCAAAGAGATGGAAACAACCCAACTGCCCATCAACAAACAAATGGCTAGAGAAGCTGTGGTATATTCACACAATGGAATACTACGGTGCATTGAAAAACAAGGAACTCATGCAATATTATTCAAAATGGGTGACCCTGGAG